ACTAGTTCTGGTTTGTTTTCTAGTATAGATCTTTGGATGTGTGTATAACGTCACTTTCTTTTGACTCAAATCCACTAGTACTGGTTTGTTTTCTGGTTTAGATCTTTGGATGTGTATCTTGTTAATTATGAGGTCTGTTTCTGATGAAGATTTATGGGTTCAGCATTGCTTTGTTTTCATGCATCATGCTCTGTTTAACTGTATTCTTTGGAATATGTTACAGCCTTAGGTGTCTAATGTTCTATTTTCTTATTCTTCAGATTTTGCGAACTACAATGGGTGACATACACATGAAATTGTATCCAGAGGAATGCCCAAAAACTGTGGAGAACTTCACAACACACTGCCGAAATGGCTATTATGATAACCTCATATTTCACAGAGTCATCAAAGGTTTCATGATACAAACAGGAGATCCTTTAGGAGATGGTACTGGTGGGCAATCTATTTGGGGACGGGAGTTTGAGGATGAATTTCATAAAAGGTAAAGAATTTAATTTCATTGACCGAGTTGAAGTTGTAACGAAGTCAGTTTCTACTTTGTCTGTTTTCTCTTTGCAATTTTTTGTAGTATCACAATTCTTTGGTAAATGGGGGTAAGGCTAGCCGACATTTACCTCTCCCAGACCCTGCGTAAAGCGGGAGCCTTGTGCACTGGGTACGACCTTTATCACAATTCTTTGGTAAGTATTCAATGATGTAAATCGTTCTTTTGTTGCAGTTTACGACATGACAGGCCTTTCACTGTATCAATGGCAAATGCGGGCGAAAACACAAATGGATCTCAGTTCTTTATCACCACAGTGGCTACTCCCTGGCTTGACAACAAGCACACAGTTTTTGGCAGAGTTATCAAGGGGATGGATGTCGTGCAGGTACGATTGAGCCTTAGCTTTTATGTTTATCATCTGCATGTGGTCTTTCTTTTTTCTTCTCCTTGAGATGGGGAGAGGGAGAGTGATGTGCAGTCTTCTCGAAGAGGAGAGGAAAAGATTTTAAATTGCCTGAAAATTAGTCATTGATTAGGGACGAAAATGTTCTTTGCCAAAGACATTTTGTTTTTCTTGCAAACTTGGAAATTATCCAATGATGACTGGCATTTATGTATACCTTTTACTCGTGAATCACGGCTACTATGAGGGCCCCCCGTGTGACTGGTTAATTAACGTCTGAGACCCATCTTATTGTATGCAGGCTATAGAAAAAGTGAAGACAGACAGGGGAGAAAGGCCCCAAGTAGACGTGAAAATTCTGAATGTTACTGTCCCCAAGCCTTAAGATTCTCCCTTTCGACGATACTTTCCAAATATGGTTGGTGATCGGTTTGGTGGAACCTTGACTGCAAAAGATTGCATTCAGGTAATTTGTTTATGCCGTTTAATGTAGGGTAGATTCACCTGTTTTACTTCCACGCTTCATGCTTGATGCGGATTACTTAGCAAGATGTTACTTGTTCAGGGGAAAAAAAAGAAACAACGTTGCCATGGTAATTTGTTTATGCCGTTTAACCGTTATTTATGTAATGCTTTTAACCAGTTGAGTTCCATGGTCGTATGTCGTTAATTTCCTTCAACTAAAATACCTTTGACAAACAAACTTCGTTCACTAATGTTTTTAAAGTTTAAGCTGTAACCGAGGCAAAGTATAATTCAAACTTTTAGTTAGGGTTTCCGATGAATATCTTAATTAAGAGCCTACAATTTTTGACAATCGAGTGTATAACTATACTGTAGGAAAATGCTAAAGAGATCGCATGTATTTGATTTTTGGTATGGAGTAGCCCAGAAAAAATAAATGTAGCATAATTTGTTCTCATAATAACCGATGTATGGTAATGACAGATACATTCTTTCGTATGTAATTACGTTCAAATTTGAGTACATTATTCGCACATATTTTCCTAGATGTCTCATAATTGGGAAGTAACAAGGAATGCAACATCCCAATATAACATGACAAAAAACATCATCGTAGATAGTGAATTAGGAAGCTCAGCTTCAACCGAGGCCAAGGCTTTTTCGCAACCAACAAAGTCGTCTCCGGCATCTGAGCACAAAACAAATCGGCTAACCCAAAATCGTACGCACTTCTTTGTAGCTTCGGAGCCATTAACACTCTTGTCGGTGGCGTTGAGCGTTTAAAGAAAAAAAAAGGTTTCCTTTGTGCTGCATTTGATAGTGCTAAGGTAACAGTGGCTACACCAACATATTTGGGATTAGATGCTGAACGATTTGGAATATCTTTCCATAGGATTTTTACGCATTGTTTATGGTTGTAGCCGAATTGGTTTTGGGTTTGCTTGCAAACACTCCTAACTAATTGTGGCGCTCTTTGCATTTGCAAATGGTGCTGCAGACGATGAGAGACATAAGACTAAAGAAGCAATGAACACTGCATAACCGTTGTGGAGTCCATTGCTCAAGGTGTGTATTTTCAAATTCAAGCTAAAGTGGTTACAAATTAATTTCTTGGATTAAGCAATGAATAAATGGAGTATGATATATATACCAGCAACTCAAGGAGGGTATAGGGCTAAATTTAGGAGCGTAAGTTCAAGTTCATGTACCTTTTTGTTTTGGTTTTTTCTTTTACTTATTAAACCCTTGGATGTAAAACTAGCCTTAACATGTTCCTCTAGTTCATTTTGTTTGAACTAAAACTCAGCAAAAGCTGGACATCATGGTTTCTAGAAATCCAATACAAGTATATAATTGGACGTCACAGTTTTTGGTACACATTTATGGTAATTTAGCCTCTCTATAACTCAACGAGTTTCACCGTTACTTCGCATCGTCGATCATAATTTTGACTTCAAATTTGGCCATTACAGAATTGTCGTAGTTCGTCTTCATTTTCTGCTATTGAATGAAATAATGGCAGAGTAAAAAATCGAAGCAAGAAGGGGTCTCTAGACCATATAAGAAATAAAATAGAATATAATCGACGGGAGAAAAATTTAGGGATAATTCTAGTTCTAGTATAGGAATGGAATATTGTAAACAAAGGCAAGTAGCGGAGTAACGAAAAAAAATATTTAATATTTGAGAGAATTATATTATAAGCACCGAACTTGTTTATAAGTTTTGCAAAAAGAAAATTACTATTTTAGGGTTGAACAAACATCAATCATCATTACTCAACCAAAAACACACAAAATAAAGCTAAAGCAAACAACCACAAGCAAAAGCATACAAAATAAAGAAAAGCAAGAGAGGCCCAGGCCTGTCCCTCGTTCTCGTGTAATACGTATTTCAACGTATTTTTCGGTTGAGTTGTTTGTGATATGTAGCCCCAGTTTGGGGTTGAGGTGATTTTAAAAAAAGCTCCTATGAAAAAAAGCTGGGAGTGTTTTTGGTGTTTGGTAAACTTAAAAAAAACGGCTTATTTTGGAAGCTGCCGTGAGAATAAGCTGAAATCAAAGGAAAAAGCTGAAGCTGCAATTTGTAGCTTTGGAAAACTGGTTTTTTTTCAAAGCACATAGAACTACAGTGCTCCTTTAATGAAAAGATCCACTATCAGACTGCTTTTTTTTCCAAAAGCACTTTTACAAAAAAGTTTACCAAACACCCTGCTGATTTATTTCACAGCCGCTTATTCTCACAGCAGCTTTTTTTCAAAGCACAGCAATACCAAACCAGCCCGTAATCTCGTTTTAGGAGAGTTTTGTGTTATTGCTATAAGCGTGTTCCAAGTGTGTGTGTGTGGGGTTTTTTTTTAATTTTTTTAATTTTTTTTAAATTTTTTTAATATATGGGATGTTATGCCGATTTGTAATTGATCTATATTAATGATCATTGTCATTTTGGCGGCTGAATTGGGGATTTTATTATGGTAGGGTGTGTTATTTTCTTTAGATCATGTCAGCTCTTGGTCTCTAAAGATTCTTTACCCGTATTTAGAGTCATACATGAGTCTTGTAATCTTCTCTTTTCAATAACATTATATATTGTCTTCTAAAAATAAAGAACAACTGCGTGTAAAATTCCGTATTAGGTTCATTCATGGCATATTTCTACATGTTTAAAAAATATTTGGGGTTCAAGTTTTGACTATTATATTTTCAATTATGTTTGGTTGAAAGCTGAACCAGAAGCTCATACAAATTGAATAGACTCCCAGGCAAATGAAAAATGACGCTTAAAATTACACCGGTTATTTATCATTTTTTTATTTTTTTTATTTTTTTATGAAACGGAAACATTCCATTAATCAACTATACAAAGAACATCATCAACATAAAATACAATTCATGAATACAACCGCAACAGAAAGACAACACAAAATTTCAATCACATCCAACCGCATAGAAAGATAACGCTCATCATGACATCTTGCTTCACTTTCTAATGAACTTGCTTATGAGAATGCTCATTTGCAAAGAAACCCTGCTATGAGACATAGAAAAAGGTCTTCATCATCCTTTGTCAGGTGAACAGACCACAAAACCACAAACTTAAATAAAAAACACAACACAACCTAACGGTGTGATTCCCTCAAGCCACCACAATGGTACCACCAGTGAGAGATTGCACCACGCTTCGACGATCCTGCAATCTAGCTATTTGAGTCAAATTTGAAATTTATTCCCATCAAGTGGACAAAACTTCACTACACAAAAAGCTAATTAATTTGTGCTTCATACCAAATTAAATTTTGAACCAGATTTCGTATCTGATATATTCCCAAAAAACAAAAAAACAAAAAAATTCCGAGACTTTTATACCATTCAATTTTCTGGATAATGTTTCAAGGAATTTTATTAAAAGAACCCTATATTAGTCTTGCCAGAATTAATTTCTTAATTCTCCCCCCTAAAACAAACTCCATTATTAAAGCAACAGAAAATGACATGCAGTGGAATGATCGTAAAACCGAAGGAACCAAAAGGGAAGGCATTAGAAGTACTCGAGCAAAAACACAAACTGAGCTCCATTATTTATAAGTGGTCACACAAACCACTTGCAGAGGTCACACAAACCACTTGCAGCGGTCATACGGCTACGCATTTGATGACAATATATTCTGAAAGTTCTGAAATAAACTGCACGTCTATAAAAACACCACAATTGCAATTTTAATCGTAAAAGATATATCGATGGCTCAAATTGCCAAGATTGACGCCCAAGCAGAGATAAAATCCTCGCCAGATAAGTTTCATGGCTTCTTCAAGAACAACATCACCTCTTTCCCGCAGATGTTCCCTCAAATCTTCAAGAGCGTTGAAGTAGTAGGAGGAGGTGCGCTCAGAGCCGGTGCCGTCTTTTCTTGCAAATACGACCTTGGTAAGAGACTTATTATGTTTAACCAACAATTTAAATCATTTCTTTTTGGGTTCTTTAGATATATACATATACATACATACATACCATACGAGTGAACCTAGAGATCGAGGAGAGAACTGAACACATGACCTCGAGTAGAGAAGGAACCTATGTATCATATTATAGTTTGTTTTAATTTTTTTAGCTTTTATTAAAGCGTGTCTTGTTCTTGCTCAAAATGACATGGCAGACATGCAGTTCTCTCATATTGGTTCGAGTTTCGTCTATGAGATTTGAATCTCAACCAAGTAGATAGTAATACCAGCATCACTATACAAAATGATCATTTTCGATTATATACATTTATAATCAAATTTACATCGTGCAGGAGAGGGTCCAGTGACGGCAAAAATTAAGATTCCAGCGGTAGATGATGAGAATACATCAATCAACTTTGTTGTCCTTGAAGGAGATGTTTTGAAGCTGTATAAGACTTTCAAGGCAAAACTTGAGATTAGCAAAGCAGGAAATGGTGGCAGCACAGTAAAATGGACTTTGGAAGTTGAGAAGGCAAATGCAAATGCACCCGAGCCGAAGCTCTATGCGGATCATGCAATTAAAGTGTCCAAAGGCATTGATGCTTACCTGGGCAGGGCTTAATTCAATGCCTTTTCTGTAACACATGCAAACTCTATTATGTGCGACACGAAGTTAATGAGTGCTACAGAGACTTATTATATTGTCAACTAAATTACAATAATAAGAAAAAGTGGCCTTTAATATCAACATGAGTGTATAGAAGGAAAAAATTGGGTGCCCACTAGTTATTTTTTTTAATGATATTGAAGAGGTTTTAAGTTCAAATCTCCTCACCCTATTTGATATAGGAAAACAATTTAGAGAAATTGAATGGTGCAGTGAAACACTTTAGAGCTTGTATCAGAAATGATGTCAAGTTTTAATTAAAGCACGTATAACATACTTTCATCTTAAAGTCACTGCATATTAGAGTGAACGTATTATAAAAAATTCAAATTTAAGAGGAACATACGTTGGTTGTGTTGTAGGCCTAATTTATTGAACTGTATAAAAGACAAAGAGAGAAAGGGGGTGCAACAATAGTAGAGAGAAAGAGAGAGAGATGTGTAATTGTGAGGTGTGATTTATTCCATCCCATTGTGCCTTTATTTATAGTAGTAGGAAGGTTAATTCCTTACCCTTTTAGGATTACAACTCTAATAGGATATTAACTACTAAAGAGAATATTTAAAGATATTTCTAGATACACTAGGATTTACACAATCACATTCCTAATTTAATAGGACTGCAACACTCCCCCTTGACTGTGTAAATACTCAAACAAATGGCACATCAGGTCTTCAACGATGAAGCAAGTATAGTTGATGAAGTCATTGGCACAATGAGCTAATGCAAGTCGCAAATTTACGGAAGAATGCATAAAAGGTAAAACTCACAAAACCTCGCTGTGGTAAAACCTAATGTGGGATAAAAACCCATAGACTAAGGAGAAAAGTGAGAAGTTGCATTAAGTCAAAACTATACATCTTCTGGACGCAAGTAGAAGAGCTCACAATGGTATGATTTGCCCAGGATGGGTGCCTCGTCAAAACCTAATTAGGTAGCAAAAACGCAGTGGGAAAAATGCTCCTAATCGTAGAGAAAAAAAGTACATTAAGATTAAGTGAGTATACTTTTGGATACTCTCCCTGAGTTTGACAGAACTTCCAAATGAGAACTACAAGCATTGCATATGATAGTTAGGCATACCAATTCCTCGGAGAAGCTTCTGGAAGGTTGACTTTGGCAGTGACGTCGTGTAGAAGTCGACAAGGTTGTCTTGCATGACTTTAATCTCTTGATGCTTTGCTGATGTAGATGCAATATGTCTTGGTATTGACTTCGTTGATGTGTTATGACTTGGTCGGGTTGATACATGTGGCATAGTCTTCATAGATTGTCGTTGGACTCAAGGATGGATGAAAACAACAAGTACTTTGAATATGCTCAACAATGACTCCTAACCATGTCTCACGTGTGGCATAGTGAGGTGAGTCTTGGAACGATTTGAAGGTTTTGCAACTAAGGTCATATCATGGACCTCCAAGATATTGCGATATCCCTAAATGATAAAGACTTAACTATTAGGGGATGTTGCCTTGTGCAGGTTTGATAAGTAACATGCGTCAGCATAACAACAAGGCAAGCATCATTCCGAGGATTATGAGGGTCGGATCCGCTCGAGATGCATTGGGATTAGCCCAAATCCGTAGTACCTTTCAGGATAGCGGAAAAACATCTTTAATACCAATTCAGTGGTTGCATGTAGGCGCGGTGCTGCATCTTTACCAATAGATCAACAGCGAAGGAGATGTCCTATCTAAGGTAATGAGCTAAGTACAACAAATCGCAAAGTTGAACTTAGATATGGAATTTTGGATTCCATAACCTCTTCAAGGGTCTTATTTGCATATAGTGTATGGAAGATCGTAGGTATACTCAAAGGTAACACCTTCAGGGTGTAGTTCGACTGGTAGACCAAAGTACTGTTAGAACTATACTTAAACTTTAGGTCAAGGCATAAACGAGTTTTCCCAAGATCCTTCATCTCAAATTCCATTTTCAGGTGCGAGGCAGTTTTCTCAAGCTTTTCTAGAGTCTTAGTGAGATTCATGTCAGTAACATAAACTATAACTCTAGCAATTAGGAATAATACTTCATTGTTTAACATGCAAGGGCATAATTCATATCCTTAACTGATCAAATAATCACTTAGATGGGTAAATCACATTTGTCAGATTGCTTCAATTCGTAAGTGAATGCCTTAAACAAGTTGAGATGGTGTTCCGTGGTTTAGAACTATTTGAACCAGTCCATATAATTCTTCGGGAACTTACATGTAAATCTCCGTATCAATATCCCCATGGATAAATACTAACCATATTCATAATGCTGCAATCAATCATAGGGCGTTTGAGAGAAACCTTGCACCGTAAGGCGTGCTTCATATCGCACTATTTCATACATCTTATTACACTTCCTTTCCCACTTGTAACACAACAAGGTTACCTTGGGCAGTGTAGGAACGATAGGTCCAAAACACACTTTGGTAAGCAATTTAACCTGGATTGTAATTTCGGTTGTCCAATCAGTTCTACGTTGTCACTAATCAACAGAACACGATTCGATATCGTCGCTTTTCATTTATGTCGGTAGCTACCATATAAGTGAAAGCATCATTGATGATAATCTCATTCCAATTCCACTATCTCATCCAAGCTAGTATACTGGACCAAGAACTTCAAGTCTCGGGAGTAATTCGGATTAATCTCATGAGATGGAAATGATTTGAGCAGCGATCGAGTATAGATTCATTGTTGTGCCATGTCTTCTTCTAGGGAAGTGAATCCTATAAACTGAGTGATATTTCGTGCTTTAGGCCAAGACAGATTGATTGGCTATTCGCTGGCGTACCGGATCGTCTAACAGGGGCGACACACCCTTTGGGGATGTTGACTTGACTTTCGTTAAGAAAGTATATCCTTGCAGGCATGTTTGTAGCTGGTATATGATCTCGTCACTTTAGCTAGATTAGAGGAATATGTCTGGAGAAACATTTTGACAGTTAGAATACATCGCACTTGTGCGGTATGGGGATCGAAATGAGACATAGTGGGTAACGTCCACGCAAATTCACGTTGTTCTACAAGAACATTGATGTTCTTATCTCTCCTTAACGATGGGAGGATTGTCTCATTGAAGTGACAATCCGCAAATGAGCAGTTAAGAGATCGAATGCAAGAGCTTTAAGAGAGCTAGTGTGAAAGAGAATCATAATCGACAAAGATTCACATCCTTCTTTTGAGGACCCATATTGGTACGTTGCGATGACGCAACATGGCACATGGAATGCACACCCAAAATGTGTAAATACAAAGCATCAGGTTAGTACCCAGTAACCAACTGTAACGTCGAATAAGTTGGGTAGCAATGGATCTCAAGGTGGACCAACATAGTTGCATACAAGATAACATAGCCCTAGGCAAAAACAGAAAGCTTGGTGCGTTCACCAAGGTTTGGGCGATCATTGAAATTGTGCTTTATGATCACTCTGCAAGGCTATTTAGGGTAAGCTGAAATTCGATGTTCAATTATAAACCCAAAAAACATGTAATACTTTATCGAAAACCGTCGATATAAACTCTCCGGCATTATCCAGTCTTTTAGACTTTAGGGATAAGTAGGGTGGTGAACCCTTAAAATTGGCCAGGAGGTTTAGCTACAATGTGTGTGGATAAACATGTGATCAATTTGTCGATTCATCAACCAAAACCATAAGTATTTATATGGTCCGCATTTTGGTTGGATTAGTCCATATATATTCCCTTGAATTCATTGTGAAAAAAAGAGTCGTTTTGTATCTTTGCGAGGGATGATTTAAAAAATTAATTTCCCCAATGAGGAGGCTTGGAAAAGTGTGCTTGTAGGCACAAGATCCTTACTTCGGGTAAGGAGATGTGTTGTAGTATCATTGTTCGACCTAAGTGTCCTAAATGGTCGTGCCAAAACAAGTAAACTGCTCAATCACCAAGCTCCAGGCCGGCCACATGTGGTGTGTTCCTAGTTAGGAGATAGCCCATTGACCCCAAAGCAAAGCTTCAGGCTCATTTTTGGAGTGGTGCAAAGATATTTCACTCTATTTTCTCCAGTGGTTTCATTCATGATCATTGTCATCTCGAATATCCTTAAAAAAGCTCAACAATGTTCTTCAGGAACGAATAGAGTATAAGGTCTTTGCCATGGTAATTCAATACCATTCATACAACGAGGAGTGTGCCAATGTTCTTAATTAGGTTGGATATACCTGAAGTCGTTCCTAGAGATGTGATTTAGGTATAAAGTTAGTGTGCGTAGTATCGCATTCATCTAGACAACTAACTATCCACATTCGTACCTAATCATGTGTTTAATTGAATTCGGTCGCATGTATATAAGAAACATGACTCAATTAACTCGTATTCAAGGACAATATCAATAAGATTATCCATAACTAAAACAAATACCAAAACTTGAATCCAAGAACATGAAAAAATATTCACAAAGTAAATAGTTTACTTTAGGGGATTCGGCCAACAAGGCCATCCATGTCAAAATTCTACTCTTCTAACAGTGTTCGATGGAGCAAAATTAGTCTCACATATTGACTACAAGAATGGTACTCCTCAACGACATTGGTAAGGGCAAGAACAGGTGCATAACCAATGATCTATTCCATCAAGACGGAAGTAGATTATGCAGGGTTAAGGTTTGGAAATATTATCCCTTATTCTTGAAGTTTTAGGTCTTAGGTGCCAAGGATCACGCTTCGGGCATGATGCCACACCTTGGTAGGCCTTGATTCTACCATATGTTGTAAAGTGAGAGAGACAGACCCAAACTTGGGTACAGTAGGCTCTAGTCGAAACTGGAGGGGTTTGTTCAGTAAGCCTCTATAGAAGCAGAGCAGTATCGTTCGGTGCACCTTTGCCGAAGTAGATCATGTCATTTCGGTGCATCACTGTCGAAGCAGGGCATTACTGTTCAGAAAGCTTTGATTGAACTGGGTCGAGCCATTTGGTAGAATCCAGTCGAACTGGGTCCATACCTTTCTCTCACGTTTGTGGGTGTAATTAGATCCAAAAATTTGGTAAACTTCCACTTTCTACATTGCTGCTTTATGAGCGAGTTAGAAACATGGAAGGATGAGAAAAGTATTCTCTAGTCAAAAT